CACACTCATAGTGAAGAATTGCTTCCTCAAATCTAATCTAAGAATAATCTACCCTCTGTCAGTTTAAAGCCACCACCCCTTGTCCTGTCACTACATGCTCCTCTCCAGATTTCTTGTAGGCCCCCTTCAGGCACTGAAAGGCTGCTATAAGGTCTCTCCAGTCTTCTCCAGGCTGAACAAGCCCAACTTTCCCAGCCTGTCTTCATAGGAGAGGTGCTCCAACCCCCTGATCATCTTTGTGGCTCTTCTCTGGACCTGCTCAAGCAGATCCATGTCTCTCTTGTGTTGAACGCAGGACTGCAGATAGGGTCTCATGAGAGCAGAGTAGAGGGGAAGGATGACCTCCTTCGACCTGCTGGTCACGCTTCTTTTGATGCAGCCCAGGATACAGTTGGCTTTCTGGGCTGCAAGTGCACACTGCTGGCTGATGTTGAACTTCTCGTTAACCAGCACCCCCAAGTCCTTCTCCTTAGGGCTGCTCTCAACCAGTTCTCTGCCCAACCTGTAGCTGTGCCTGGGATTGCCTCGACCCAGGTGAAGGACCTTGCACTTGGCCTTGTTGAACTTCATTAGGTATGCAAGGGCCCACCTCTCAAGCCTGTCAAGGTCCCTCTGGATGGCATCCTTTTCCTCCTGTGTGTCAACTGCACCACACAGCATGGTGTCATTGGCAAACTCAATCCCGCTGTCCATGTCACCAACAAAGATGTTACACAGTGACCCCTGAGAAACACCACTTGTCACCGGTCTACACTTTTGACATCAAGCCATTGACCTCAACTCTTTGAGTGTGACCATCCAGCCAATTCCTTATCCAATGAGTGGTCCATACATCAAATTCATGTCTCTCCAGTTTAGAGACTAGGATGGTGTGCGGGGCTGCCAAATGCCTTGCACAAGTCTAGGTAGATGATGTCAGTCTCTCTTCTTTTATCCACCAATGCTGTAACCCTGTCACAGAAGGCCACCAAGTCTGTCAGGCATGATTTGCCCTTAGTGAAGCCATGCTGGCTGTCACCAATCACGTCCTCATTTTCTAAGAGCATATACTAAGGCATAGCTTCCAGGAGGATCTGTTCCACGATCTTGCCAGGCACGGTGGCAAAATTGACTGGCCTCTACTTCTCTGGGTCTTCCCTTTTTCCAGTAGTTGGGAACATCACAGTCTGCCATGACTTCTGAAATATGATATATAATGGCTTGGCAACTTCATCCACCTCAGGACCCTCAGATGCATCTCATCAGGTCCCATGGACTTGCGCAACATCAGGCTCCTTAGATGGTTTTGAAGCTGATGGTTTTGAAGCTGATCTTCTCCTTCATTCTCCCAGTCCCTGCCTTTTCCTTCTGAAACTTGAGCAATGTGGCTGGAGCTCTTGCTGGTGACAACCAGGGCAAAAAAGTCATTGAGTACCTCAACTTTCTCCATATCACAGGTAACCAGGACTCCAGTTTCCTTCCAGAGAGGGACCACATTTTCCCTAGTCTTCCTTTTACCATAGGCGTAACTATAGAAGCTTTTCTTGTTGCTCTTGACATCACTGGCCAGGTTTAATTCTATTAGGGCTTTAGCTTTCCTAACCTTATCCCTGGCTGCTTGGACAATTTCTCTGTGCTCTTCTCAGGCTACCTTGTCCTTGTTTCCACCCTCTGCAGCCTTCCTTTTTCTGTTGGAGTTTGTCCAAGAGCTCCTTGTTCATCCATGCAGGCTTTGTTTGACTTCCTCTTTGTCAGGAAGCATCGCTCTTGAACTTAGAGGAGGTGATCCTTGAATATTATCCAGTTTTCTCGGACCCCTCTTCCTGCCAGGGCTTTATTCCCTACAAAGCAGGTCCCTGAAGATGCCAAAGTCTGCTCCCCTGCAGCCCAGGGTAGTGTGCCTGCTGTGTGCTCTCCCCACTGCCCTAATGATTTTGAACACCATCATTTTGTTGTCACTTGAGTTTTGCATTTTCCACCAGCTCCTCTCTGTTGGTGAGAACAAGGTCCGGGATAGCACCTATCCTCAGCTCATCTATCACCAACACAGTCCAGGAAACTCCTGGATTGCTTATGCCCTGCTGTGCTGTTCCTCCAACAGATACTGGAATGGCTGAAGTCCTGTATGAGGACCAGGGCTTGTGAACATGAGACTGCTCCTATCCATCTATAGAGGGCCTCATCTAGTTGGTCTTCCTGGTCAGGTGGCCTGTAGCAGACCCCTATTATAAGGTCCCCTGTCCCTGCCCTCCCTTTAATCCCGTATGAGTGGTACCCACATGAAACAAACAGCAGTGGACAATAGCCAGTGGACTGTTTGAGGCTTCGTAGTTTCTGGGTGACATCCCTGACAAAACTCTCCAGAGACTGTGTCAGGTTGGCAAATGGGTACCTCTGTGCCTCTCAGAAGAGGTGCCTACTAAGAAAGTCTCTTTTCCATGTGAAGAGGCCACATCATACCTGTTGTGTTCTTACAGCATCCTTGTGCCACAGGCAGGCACCCACAGAATTTCAAATAGCACACAGATCTGTTTTGAGTGGTGAGCTGTTAAGCTGTCTCCCCATATGTCTGATCTGAGCTTCTCCTTAACATATCACACAGATAATCATTTAAACTCTAACAAGCCTACATATGTTCCCTTACATTTCTCCCTCATATTTTGTGCAAAACAGTGACCGCAGGTGGAGTAGGAGGACAAACACTGCATCCTCTCTGTTTGAGTTTGTCATTGGCATTTTTCAAAGTCTTTGGGTCAAAAAAACCTGCAAAGTTTAGTCTGCTGCCTTAGCATCTCCAGGAGTGGATTTGATAACCTATGATGGGCTCTACTCTTACACAGGAAAAAACAAGCCTTTCCAGGATACATGTCAAGTTCTGCTCATGTCCCTCTTCTCCAGCATTTTCCAGATGGCAAATCCATTAAAGCATTAGGGAGGGAAATAGACACTGGAGTGCCAGTCTGATGAAAAGCACTGGACACCTAGCAGACAAAAGAAAGTATGAAGAGTGTCCTCAGGTGGAATGGGCCGGGAACAAACTGCAACCAGACAAGTCAGATATGATTCAGGCCACCAAATCGAGTATCCACGGGGCTTTGGGAATCCCACAACCTCAGGCTTGCCTTCCCCTGTAACTCTGAAATAAGAGTGAATGGCTGCCTGTTATGGCATCCAGGTGAAACTCTGAATTTTAATAAGTCTTTTGTTTTTCATTTAGTGGGTTGTTTTTTTTTTCGTGAAAGTAATGGCCTCTGGAACATAATCAGGAAGCAAAGCAAAGCAAAGCAAAGCAAATGCATGAAATGAAGAACTAAAAGGTTTCCATTACACTGTAATCAAATGGTGAGTTATTAATGTCAAGTATTTCTTTGACCTAGGAGAGGTTTACTGCTCCTCAAAATATCTATAACGTCAGCCCTGGAAACATCTAAACATAAGAAAAATAACCCCTTCCTCCCAAGAGAGGTTTATCTGTAATATTTAATTTGGGGTGGATATTGTCCCAGCTCTACTTCATGTACCACTTAACACACTCTCAGCATCCCTCTTCATTGATCTACTTTTGGCTCTGCAGACTTTATTAATAGACAGCTTTATCACAAAAGCTGGTAAGTGTCACAACAACTTTACATTTCCCATGTCTGTACACAAAGAACCTAGAGCAAATACAGGCACTATTGGAACTCAGCTCTCAGGATGTTTAACAATCAGAAATTGAGCGAGCTCACAGGGCTTAGTCTCCAACACTGTGCAGTGTGCATTCAGTGTTACATCAGCTGGTTTTCAGTATGAGCCAAGTCGATGACAGTTGATCATCCCCACTTGCCACGTAGGAGGACTAACCAGCTTTTTCCTGCTACTCTCCTGGAGTGCTGTACCTACCTGCTGTTTTCCAGGTCACTCTTTCAGCTAGACTTGCAGCTCTCAGGAGCACAGCAACATCACAGGGCACTGCCACAGTCTTGCGACAGAGAATAGCTTCCTACATACTCCTTATATGCTCCCTCCACCCGTTTTCCTGAAACTTGGAAGACCCAAACCTGCAATCTTGCCACACATTTGGGTAACCACCACTTGTAGCAGACCTCTCGTTTGGTTGGTTTTTTTGGTAAACGAGTATGACATGGTCAATATGATACAGCCTGAGGAAGGGATAAAATATCTATGCAAACAGATCTGAAGATACGGTGCTTTCTCCTTTGCTCCATGGCAGCATCCCGAAGCCCTGGCTGGGTGCAGATCACCCTGGGGCTGCTTGCCCCACCTCGGCGGCGGAGCGAGCAGGCAGGGGGAACCCACGGCCGCCTATGGGGCTCGTTTCAGGCTACTGCCGCCGGCCCTGCCTCACGGCGAGGGGACTTGTAATTCTCCTTCCCAGCACATGATTTTGTAGGGAAAACATCCCCGACGCGTCTAAGGAGGGGAAGGACGGCAAACCCTTCAAGCGGAGCCCTGTCCCACATCCCGTAGCTCACAGGGCTCTACCGGGAGCTGGCAGAGCGTCCCGCCTGCCCTGCTGTGGCTCAGCCGCGGGGCAGTAGGGACGGGCGCGCTGCGGGCGGCCTTCTCCCGCCGGCCAGCAGCGAAGCCCTACAGCTCCCGGGACGCTCACGGAACGGCGGCCGCGGGAAGGGAAAGGCAGCACCGCTCCCGGCCCCGCCGCAGGCAGCCAGGGGCGGCCCGGCCCTGCCCTGCCGTGCCAGGCCCCGCCCGCCGCGCACCTGCCGCCGGCCGCCCCCCTTGCCGCGGCGGGAGGTGGGCGGGGGCCGCCCGTGCCCGGCGTGTGCCCGGAGCCCGCCGGTGCCGCAGGAGGAGCAGGAAGCGCCCGGGCAAATCCAGCCGCGCTATCACATGACTCAGCAGCCGCCGCCGCCGCCGGGCTGAGTTCACCCAGCGCCGCCCCGGGAGGGGGAAACCTGCTGCTGCCGCCGCCGCTGCTGCAATGAGGCCGCGGACCCGCCGCTGCCCCTGAGCCCGCCGTTCCCCCGCCCGGCTCCGCGCGGCGCCCCCATTGCGGAAGCGCGGCGGGGGCTGCCGGAGCCGCCGCAGCAGCAGCAGCGCTGCCCGCCGGCGCGCCCCTCTTCCCGCCCTGCGCGGCGGCTCCGGCGCTGCCGCCGCCGGCGGGGGTACTATGCTCACGCGGGTGAAGTCCGCCGTGGCCAATTTCATGGGCGGCATCATGGCTGGCAGCGCGGGCGCCGACCACGGCAGCGGCGCGGACTTGCCGCTGCGCTTCCCCTACGGGAGACCCGAGTTCCTGGGACTGTCGCCGGACGAGGTGGAGTGCTCCGCCGACCATATCGCCCGCCCCATCCTCATCCTTAGCAAGGAGACCCGGCGCCTGCCCTGGACCACGGGCTACGCGGAGTGAGTACGGACCGCATCTGCGGCGGGCAGGTGGAGCGCGGCCGGGCCCGTCGGGATGAGCCCGCTCCCGGTCGCACCGGTAGCGTGAGGCTGCCGTGGCGGGTGACCCCCCTGCGGCGGGTGCCGGGGGCGGCGGGAGCACCGGACCGGGCCTGCGTGGCGCCGCGGGCAGCGGGAGCCGGGAGGGGGGGTAGGACGGGGCAAGCGGCATCCGCGGCTCCGTGTGTCCGGCCCCGGCCGTAGCTCTACACCTGGGTAGCCCGTTTCTGGAAGGCCGAGGATGCGAACGGTCAGCTGCCCCTGCGAATCTTCGCGGGTATCGGACCGGTACGCGACCGGCAAAGGATAACAAATGGGCAGCACTGGGGCTCCTCTACCCGCAGTGACGGCTCCGGGGCGTTGGGGCCAAGGGTGGTGTGAACCCCGGGGGTGAACAACTGCCTCTGTTCTTGACTCGGGAATGAAAAAGGCCGTTGATAGGAAACCCGGCTTGGTTTGTGCGCGTGTAACTGCTTCCTGCTGCCCAGAAGCGGTGGAACGTGTGGGGTTTGGGGCACTTTCCTTGTGACCCGCTGGCAGGCGTCGTCGTGCTCGTTCATGGTGGCTGGGTGCTTGTTCCCCAGGTGCTCTCCAGTCTGGGGAAGAACTTGAGAAATGCGAGACCCAAACTGAAAGAACAATCCTTAGGCTAACCCCAAACCTGGGCTTTCCCAGCAGCTTGTTGCCCTGACTCTCTCATGTCATAGGATTTACTTTAGAGGGTGTTTGGTCAGAACCTCGTTGTAGCCTTCAGTGCAGTTAAACGATCGCGTGCAGTGCCTTAAATACCAGCCAGGCAAAGGGCAGTGTTTGTTTGGAGGCAGATCCTCTTCCTGCTGACGGTGGGAGTAGCTGTGGAGGCAAGGCATGTCCTTGCACTTGATTCCTGTATTGGTAGACACTTTGTTTTCTTTGATGCTGGGAGCAGGAATCAGTATTTGGTTTCTCTCTGCCAGTGTCTCTTAAGTCTTGTGCAGATCTGGCCATCCGTATTGCTCTACCAACTCATAGGTTGCAAGTTGCACTAAACTGGCTCTTCCAAAGGTACAAACTATTTTGCTGTGGAGCGCTATCTCTTCAGGCATACATGAATTCTCAACAAAACTACTGCAAAAACTACAGTGAAGGCTTTGCATTGTTAATGAGCAATCACTAACTTTATTTAAGAGGTTGCTACATCATTTGGGACACAGGAATGGGAAGAGATTTGGATTGTTCTCTTCAGATTATTAAAGAATTGAACAGACTACTGAGCATATTCCCTAGGAACTATAAGTATAAATGTTTAAAAGTAAGCTCTAATTGTGCTACTATAATGGTCCCTTAAAAAGCAATTCTTTACCAAAGCAAGTAAGTGCTGCTATTTTTATCTTACATGAGGTGCTGTGGCTTTCAGCAAGTAACTGTAATTGCAAGTTGGTGACAAAGTGAAAGGGAGGTTCTTTGGCTCCCAGGTATGCACATCCACTGCTGCCTGCAAGCCTTGCCTATCGAGCGTGCCAGAAAGGAAACGGCTGGGTTGGCCCCATGGATGAAACCTGTGAGGGAGTGTTTGGAGATGAATGGCCCTGGTGATCATGAAAGGACAAGAACACACCAGGGTTGTTTTCATATACCTGTTACTCTTCCAAGCTTTGGGAGGTTTGGTTAATTGGGAAGCATGAAAATGTCACTGGCTTTCTCAGTTCCTGTTGTTTACGTGAAAAAAGGTTGGCTTTTTGCTTTATCTCTGGGTTTGGTTTTGAAGGGGTTGGTTTTGTTTTCATTTGTCTCCCAGTGCAGTTGTACTGGTTCTAGCGCTGATGAAGCAGAGCTTGGTACTCCTGAGAGAGAGAGCTAGTGAACGTGTTACCAGGCTCTTCCCAGAAGCATCTGTGTGGTCTTCCAAAATGGGGTCTGGTGGTAACCAGAAGATATCAAAATGCTTGCTGCGCAGAAGGAAAGAGGAAAGTAGTGCTGCCAAAACTGCACTGTCCTCCAAAGGCAAAGCAGCGTGACAGCCATTAATAAATAAAGAAGTAAGGACAAACCCAGGGTTTGCCAAATATTACTTATTTTTCCTTTTTTTTTTTTTTTTTACTCCTACTGAGCTATTACCAGGCTTTCTGAAAATAATTGTGAGACTTGCTTGGAGGTGTATGTTCAAAGTATCTATTTTCCTTTTGGAACACATTTGATTATAGAGAGGAAAGAAATGGAAAAATACCAGGAAGGTCAAATTACCATTATATATTCTAAAGTTTGTTTTCTTTGGGGGGGAGCAGGGACTGAAGTATTTTTATGCTATTATTTAGCATTGCATTAGCTATAGTTAGTCTATAAAGGAAACTTTCCGAGCAATGTTGGCCTTTTGTTACAGTACAAGTGAGCACTTGCAAGAATGTTAGGAGGAAGTTTGGTGTCCTCACAAGGAGCTTGCGGCCTAATACAAAAGTCAGCCATTTAACACACATTTTACAAGTCTGCTTTGGTATGAAGGAATCAGAAACTCCATGCTGTACCCGCAGTGCTGTGAGGTCCAGCTTCTCTGAGCTATTGCCTTTCTCGTGTCTTCATGTTTTAGCAAATCAACAAAAGTGTTTTGTTGGCAGGGATGCCTTTGGGCACTGAGGTTTTTACTCTTTAAAGGTAAGGAGGGTTTATTGCAGACTTAAAGGGCAGGGATTTTGCTCAGGAGGTGTAAGGAGAGAGTATGTACCACCTTTATTGAGTCTGCCCTGATGTCGCGGGCCATTCGCACAGAGGGGTTTGAGTTGGTGCATTTTCGCTCTATGCCCAGCACCAGCTTGCACAGTCCTTACTTCTGACAGGAAAGCACAGTCTTGCTGTGTCTAAGGAGAAATTTTGGCTCTGAGAACAGATCACCTGGAGGCTTTGGCCCAGGAAAGTGTTTGCAGTGTTCATTTTCTTTAGTTGTAAAACATACCAGTTTATGGATGATACCAGAGCTCCTTGATGTTGTGTTGTCATGTCGGTGTTTCATCTAAGCTGGAGAAGGCAATATGGGGTTAGGCATGGTTCCCATGCAGGACTAAAGCAGTCTGAGTCCACAAAATATGTAGGTTTTTCTCAGGGACGTCCTCTTGTTCCTTTGATTCCTGAGAATTGGGGTAACTTAGAGGGTGATAAAGAAGCCCACCCCGCTGTTTCTTCTCACAGATGTTAAGGCATCTGTGGCATGTGCCTGTTTGTCTGATTTGTTCCCTTGGAACAAGCACTTCTCCTCCCCTTTTTCTTGCTTCTTTTGTACTGAACTTCTTTGTAATGGATATTTTTGCAATATTACTCATCTGTGTTATATATTTTAACTTATTTTTAAAGTTACCTGCTTATCTCTGTGGTATTATGCAGTGAAATGTAAATTAGCCTTTATTTTTTACTATTGGCTTCCCCTCTTTTAATAGTGTGATCATTATGAGAAGCATGTAGGCAGGCAAATGAAATCTTTAGCAACATACTTGGTGCTAGGATAAAACATCATTGCTTCCTGAAATTTCAGCGGGAATCCCATAGGCACTCAGCTTTTCTTAGTTTGTGAGCAGCCTGAAAGCTGTCTTCTGAAACAAGATGTCCTGCTCTCTTCTTCTTTGCATGGTAGACCTGAGACCTTGAATTTCAGTTCGCCTCATACTACAGGATGGCAAAAGGCCAGTAGGTGTTTCTGAAAGATACTCTTACACCACAGACACTAGTCTAATGGTCATCAAACCTTCTGGGGAAGCAAAATGAGAATTGTATCCCACATCCAGCAAGCTTTTTAATTGTCTTTAAAGGTATCATTTCATTTAGAAATAAACTTCTCTTTAATCAAGGGCATCGTCAAAGTAGTTTTACTGCGTGTGGTTAGCTGATGTTCATCAGGAATGACCCAGGGTGAGGGCAGTCTGTTAACAAACATTCCTGTAAGTCTGCTTTTAATCCGGAGGGCTAAGGAGATTTGCTGCTCTCTGAAAAGTGAAATGATTTATTTGGGTAAGGAGGCTGGGAGGAGGCTCCTGCCTGACACTTTATTTACTCCATGCCCTCCCTCCCCTCCGCAGGCAGCTGTGCTCCCAAGGCCTCATGACTCTTCCAGACCTTTCCCTGTCTGAGCCGCAAGCCGTCTTCTGAACTTCTGCTTCATTGACCTCTCTCTTACTGGGAGGGGAATTTCTTCTCGGTGCTGTTTTCGGTGTGTAATGACATCTTCCCTGCAGAGCTTCTGCTAAGCTGTCCTCAGCCCCTGCATTAAACTCTGAAAGTAACCAGCAACTAGAGGTGATAGCATATGTGGAGTATATAACATGTAATGAAATGACTTGGATGGTATTCACCTGCATCTGGAGTCTACCCAGAACACTGTTTTTCACCTTTAGCTCTTTTGCTTTGTTTTGTTACTCCTCTGTGAAGGCAGAGGGTGAGCAGGGTGGAGCAGGGCCTTCGTGTCCTGGTTGAATTCCGTACATATGGCATGAAAAAATAGATGCTAAATTTGCAAATGACAAGGACTAGCCTGCTGCTTGTGCTGGTGGAATTGCAGGGAAACTGCAATCAAGTAGCATCTTGTGGTGGAAAAACAAGGCTAGTGATTTTCCATCTATTTTGAATGTGTATACTTGGTAGTCCAGGATTCAGTACTATAATCGCTTTTCTAAATTGTATGAATCCAGGGGATGGGACTGTAGCTGCCTGCTTCTCTATCGTAGGCTTTCCTCTCTTTACTCTAACCTTTCTGCCATCTCTTTGGACAATATCAAAAGGTACTATTAAATACACTTAAGGGAAATGGGGAAAGTCTCAGTTGTACGTTGTCTGTGACTTTATGCAGAGGACAATTTTGCCTGCCTTTTTTAATTGATTTTTGAAAGATTTCTAAATGACACTTCACTTATTTTTGCCGTTGCAAGTTATGATAGGCAGCCAGAAACTCAACTTTGGTGTTGTGTATGTTTCTTGGCTTATGAAGTCAATTTATTATCCCA